CAGGTGTGGGTTCAATTCCAGACCTGAAGGGCAGCTAGGGCCATAGTCTCAGTGGTTCCACCAGGCTCTATCAGACCAGCAAACCTGGTCCCCCCTCCCTTTTATTTTCTCCAAATGATTTTGAGTTTTGTTCCACATTGTTCTCCCTTTCTACCAAGAATCTTTTGTAGGCATGATTGATGGAATTATGCCCCACCTCTCCATGAGGTCATCTGATATCAGGCTATGCTGTACTCTTTATGGCCTCACCGGACCCCACTCATTGGCACAACCCCTCAAGTATGGTCTGGAGATGTGGTCTATTCCTCAGAAAATTGCAAGGTTTTATTTGGAGTTTTTACTTAGAGTTACCTCTCAGGAAACAAGGACAAAGACCAAATTACTTTGGGTAAAGTTAAATTCTTTTCCCACACATAGATCAGTGGAACATAGTAGAGTTCAGAAATAGACTCATACATATATAATAAATTGATTTTTGACAGAAGTGCTAAGGCAATTCAGTGGAAAAAGGAAAGTTTTCAACAAATGGTATAGGAACAACTGGTTAGTCACATGGGAAATAAATGAATTACAACCCCTACCTAACAGATCACCAAAAATTAATTTGAAATGGATCATAGACTTCAACAAAATTCTGAAACTGTGAAGTTTCTGGAAGAAAACATGGGAGAATATATTTTTTGACCTTGAGGTAAACTAAAATTTCTTAGAAGAGATGCAAAAAAGCACTAAAAAAATAATAAGTTGAGATTCACCAGAATTTAAAACTTAGGCTATTTGATAGACAGCATTAAGAAAGTAGAAAAGCAAGTCACATCTGGAAAAAAATATTTTTGGTACATATGTCTGACAGAGAACTTATATCAAGAGTATATTAAGATCTCTTATAAGTATGTAAAAAATGACCCACTTTTTAAAAAATGTACTACAGAGTTGAATATACACTTCAACAAAGATATATATATATATAGACAATAAGGCAATAAATTGTTCCACTCATTTAACATCAAGAAAATATATAATAAAATCATAATAATAACCTTTTACACCTACTACACAGCTCAGGGAGCTCTCATGGTATAGTGCCTAAGGCATTTGACTGCTAACCAGAAGTCTGGCAGTTCAAACCCACCAGCCACTCCTCCGGTGGAAGATTGGGCGATTTACTTCCATAGTGATACCTCCTCAAAAACCCAATGAGGGGTCACTGTGAGTCGGATCCAACTCAATGGCAGTGAGCTTTTTTGGTTTTAAAACAGCTAAAATTCGTATGATTGACAATACCAAATGTTGACAAGTATGTGGAGCACCTGGAATTCCATATATAGGCTGGTAGGAGTGTAAAATAGTACAACTAGTTTGGAAACTGTGTGACAGTGTCTTTTAAAGTAAACAAGCAAGTTACTAGGTTAAGACCAAGTTACTGGGTCTACTGTATGCCCAGTAATCCCACTCCTATAATATTTGCCCAAGAGAAATGAAAACACATGTCCACAAAAACAATGTTTATTGCAGTTTTATTCATAATAGCCTCAAATTGAAAACAACCCACAACCCAAATGCCTATCAATATGACAAGGGACAAACAGATTATGGTATATTCATACAGTGACTACTTCTAATAAAAAAGAATGACATAGCTGGATCTCAAAAAAAAAAAACATGTTGAGCCAAAGAAGCCAGACACAAAAGAATACCAACTTTATGATTCTATTTATATGAAATTCAAGAGCAAGCAAAATTAATCTCTCATGTTGAAATCAAAATAATAGTTGCCAGTAGGAGGTCTGGTTACGTAGTGCCTAAAGCGTTTGACTGCTAACCAGAAGACTGACAGTTCAAACCCATCAGACACTCCTCAGAAGAAAGGTTGGGCAACCTATTTCCGTAGTGATACCACCTTGGAAACCCAAGGAGGGGTCGCTATGAGTCGGATCTGACTTGATGGCACATAACAACAGGGTGGCTAAATGCATTGACTATAAGAGGCATAAGGAGCCTTCTGGAGCAATGGAAATACTCTGTGTATTGATTGTGGATGTGGTCATAATGGATTTATACACTTACCAAAGCTCATCAAATTGTATACTTATAGACCATGCATTTCACTGTTTCTAGATTTTTACTCCCCCCCTTGTTTTTTTTAAGGTGGTTCAAAGTTTCCCTGCCTTCTGAAGAGGCAGATAGCTATAGCACTTTGACCCTCAAAGTACATTAGCACTATTACTGTGTTATGCTTTTTGTTTTGAAAAAACAGGCTGTAAACTTCATCTCATACTGCCCGGCAGCTCTCATTTAAATAGAAAGGTGTATGTATGGCGGTTCAAACCCACCAGCCACTCCACGGAAGGAAGGCTGGGCAATCTACTTCTGTAGTGATACTACCTCAGAAACCCAAGGAGGGGTCAGTCCGATTCAACAGCATATAACAACAACAACGTGTATGTAGTTGGATTCACATGAGGCAGAGAACTCATATAAAATCATCAGGAGCATAACTTTATTTTTCTTAAGTCCTGGAGTATGACATTAAAAAAGTTCATTTTTCTGGAATATAGTGCCTAAGGCATTTAACTGCTAACTAGAAGGCTGGCGGTTCAAACCGACCAGCCACTCCTCAGAAGGAAGATGGGGCAATCTACTTCTATAGTGATGCTGCTTCTGAAACCCAAGGAGGGGTCGCTATGAGTCGGGGCCTACTCGACGGCACATAACAACAACAACAACAAATATTTACAAGGTTATTAGAAGCATATAAATATATGTTGTTGTTGTTGTTATGTGCCATTGAGTCGGCCCCGACTCATAGCGACCCCTCCTTGGGTTTCCGAGGCAGTATCACTACGGAAGTAGGATTGCCCAACCTTCCTTCCGAGGAGTGGCTGGTGGGTTTGAACCGCCAGCCTTCTGGTTAGCAGTCAAGTGCCTTAGGCACTATGCTACCAGAGCTCATATATATATATAAAATATGTGTGTGTGTATATACTATGTACATATGTGTGTGCATATATATGTACGTGTGTGTGTGTGTATATATGTATGTATGTATGTGTATATATATATATATATATATATAAACTAAACTCACTGCCATTGAGTCAATTCTGATTTGTAGCATCCCCTTTTGGGTTTCCAAGGTGGTAAATCTTTATGGAAGTAGATTGCCCACTCTTCTTTCTGTGGAGTGGCTGGTGGGTTTGAACCAGCAGCCTTCTGGTTAGCAGTCACATGCCTTAGGCACTATGCCACCAGAATACTCCATATATATATTTTAAATTGCATAAATATATGCATATATATGTAATTTAAAAATGAAAACATTCTGACCTTAGTATTAGTGGATCTTTTGGGGCATAAGGATATAAGATTTTGTATTTTTTTTTAATACCCCTTCTGATCCTAATGTTTCATGCTGTTTTACATTTTTGATTCTTTTGCAGGTGAAGTTTGCACTCAAGATCTACTTTCCTTATGCTTCTCCATCTCTTGTTATGCTACTGCTTCAACACCCTAAAGGTATGTTAAGGTTGATTTTACTCTCCCCCTCCCAATTCCTTATCAGGAGCACAAAAAGCAAAACCAAACCAAACCCGTTGCCACTGAGTTGACTCTGACTCATAGTGATCCTATAGGACAGAGTAGAACTGCCCATACGGTTTCCAAGGCTATCATCTTTACAGTAGCAGACTGCCACACCTTTCTCCCATAACAGTTAGTGGTTTCAAACTGCAGACCTTTCAGTTAGCAGCAAAGCACTTAACCCATTCATTGTACCACTAGGGCCCCTCATCTGTAGCATGAGGAAGTTGGAATTAATTGGTCCTTTCTAAGATCCCTCTAGAAGGCAGTGGTGAGTCAGTGGTAAAATTCTCGTCTTCCATGCACGAGGCCCAGCCAACGCACATCATGCATGCTCAAACACCATCCGTCAGGAGAGACTTACCTATGCTATGATGCTGAACAGATTTCAGTGGAGCTTCCAAACTAAGAGACTAGGAAGAAAGGGTTAGTGATCTACTTCTGAAAAATCAGCCAAAGAAAACACTATGGATCACAGTTGTTGATCTCACTGTGCATGGGGTCACCATGAGTCCAGGGTGGACTCACGGCAGCCAGCAACAAGTCCTCAAGGTCTCACCTTTTGTGGTTCTTCATATGAGAATTTGCTTGACTTCCCAGTTATAATCACTTACCAAAATCTAAGAAATTAGATTTTGATGGTCTGCCTTTGGAATACAAGAACCTATGCTGGTGCCAGCCAGATCCACGTGGAAGCCAGGAACAGGCTAAGAGCTGATTGTGTTAGAATAAAACAATACATTTCTTTATATTTCTTTTTACTTCCTGTACCCTTCTTGTAGAAGAAAAGATAAACTGATGAATGAGATCAAGAAATTGATCTCCTAACCAAGAAAAGGCTTTTGAAACATATTTCTATTAAACTATAGCCTCTCCTGATTTCGTGTCAGCCCTCTGTAGGCCATGTTCAGTTGGAGAAGTAATGATTCCATCCTTAATTCAGCTGGTGTTGATTAGTGAATATGCCTGTAAACTCTTGTTTGGAAAACATTTCAGAAATAGAGAATAAAGACATCCTTAGGAGCTCTGTGGTATGTTAGTAGTAGTTAAGGCATTTGGCTGCCAACCAAAAGGTGGGTGATTCGAACCCACCAGGTGCTCTGTGGAAGAAAGATGAAGCAGTCTGCTTCCATAAAGATTTATAGCTTGGGGTACCCAATGGAGGTTGCTATGAGTTGGAATCAACTCGATGACAGTGAGTTTGGGATTTATTTATTTTTTGGGGTGTTTTGTTTTGTTTTGCCCTCCAATGCTTGAAATCTGCAGGAAAGGCAGTGTCAACACAAGCAAAGATGTTGTACTATAGAGGAAGGCAATCTGTCTGACCTGAGAAGGAAAAAGAAGAGGGAAGGGCAAAAAACAGATAGCATTTCCCTTGTTACGCAATTTTTTGCTTTCTTTTTTCCTGAGACTTGAGTAAGTAGATTTATTTGAGGAAAGCAAATGATTCAAACATTCAGAGCATTTTACAAAATTTAAATTCCTCTTCCTTTTTCTTGCCCAAGGTGCACCATTTGACAACTGTCTTTTCAGGTCCTGGAAGTATGGGTGACAGGCCCCTGTGGAATCACTGGTTGACACTTTTATGAAACTGAACCTGTGGGGACACAATGGGATAAGACAGAAGAATCAATATTCTACTTTCCTGGGCTGTACCTTAAGGCTTCCGTCAGCATAGCAAAGCAGGGGAGCTGTTAATTGTTACGTTTTTAACTCTATAAACATAGGATGAAGGTGTTGTATGAGCATGAACTCAGCCTTGTATTTGTGTGATTGTCCTAGATTTATGACGAAGTATAAATAAATAGATAGGAGGAGAAGTACAAGAATCTCCTATGCTGGTCCCTACAACAGTCGTCTAGATATTACTTTCAAAAACACTGTTACATTCACAAATTCAAGTGTTTTCAATGGTATAGTCTTTTTATTCATCAGAAATGTATTTCCTGCCCATTGTGAAGTCCTGTGAGCATAAAAGATGGACAACTTACAAGGCTGGTGTACTCAGGAGCTACAAGAATAGAGAGGAAATAAAATAAGTATCAAAGTAAGGAGCACAAAGAAGAAAATTAAAACTGCTTTCAAAAGACTGTGAATCAACACGTATGGAAGCTTGGAGGAGGGAGAGGAGATAATAAATGATCCTGTAATCTGTAACATTTGTGGAGTAGTTGTGGTTAGTCTGTCACTTACGTTATCTTTCTCATGCATTCAATTAAAAGATCTATCACTGCATGAAAATGTGTTAACTTTTTTCAGATGTTGCTTAGAACTGCAGATACATGCATGTTCAGATGTGTTTAAAACCAAAGGATAATTGTGAAACTAGAAAAAGGACCCAAGAAAAGACATTTATTTGATGCCCATGTGGTTTTATCCTAGCCTTGTCTTTACTACAGACCTGAAATCATCTTCCAAATTCATCACAGACGAAAGCAGGAGGGCAGTCCATTCCTAATCCCTGCTGACTGCCTCATTAGTTCCCTTTAATTTTGAAACCACAAATTATTAGTCATAGAGGCAGATTTTAGGTAAATAGGAAAGAAACATACAGAGATACCACAACGTAGCATTCCTAAAGCTTAGGATGGGCTACTTAGGCAATCTTTATCTACTACCTTTTGGGGACGCAGTGGGGCGAGACAGATTTAGTTAGGAATTGTTTGAGGTTTAGCTCTATGTAACACTAAAATCTTTCTTCCTTAGGTATGAGATAGGCATGCCAAAAAACCAAACCAATTGTCATCAAATCATCTCTGACTCATGGCAACCCCTTGTGTTTCAGAGTAGAGCTGTGCTCCATAAGGTTTTCAATAGCTGTTTTTTCAGAAGTAGATTGCCAGACTTTTCTTCTTCTGCATGCACTCAAACCACCAGCCTTTTAGTTAGCAGCTGAGCACATTACTATTTGCGTCACCCAGGGACTCCAAGAAAGTCACTGGCTGAGAAAAACATGCAGGTGGGTGGCATGGGTTCCATGAACCAGAAAAAGAAAATGGAATTTCCCAAAACTCTTTGAGTCTTAGCTGCAGGTGATCTTAATAGGTTTGACTTTCTTTTGGTTTGCTCTCTGACTTCTCACTCCATCCACAGATATCCCACTGGAACACTGGTGCCAGTCATTGACGCACATGTCTGAAATGCTCAGAGAAATGGTTGAAGGCCAGACCGATGGGTGAGAAAACACTGATCACTCCTCAGACTACTTTACTTGTGGTTTCTCTTGATCTTTATCTTCCTTTTGAGCAGGGCTGACAGGTCAGACATTATTGGATCTGTGACTGTCACCAGGGAGGTAAGTACCATCACTAAGAAGTAGAGAAAGCAGGTAGTGGCTTTGGAGCAGGTCAGAATTAATAGGCATGTATAGGTGTATACCTGTTATAGGAATTGTTCTAAGTAATACCTAGTTATAGATTTGGAAAAACATGAATAGTAATTAAAAGAACAAACCCTTGAAAAAAAGTGGTGGTCACCTGTTGGGAATTCATGGCCATGCAGAAGGAGAAAGGAATCTCTCTGCCCTTGGTCCTCTCCATCTCTCTAGGGAAGATGTTGTTGGTGTGTTTTTAGGCACCGTTGAGTCATCCCCCTATGTACAGCAAAACGTAACACTGCCCAGTCCTGTGCCAGCTCTACAATCCCTGCTATACCTAAGCCCATCGTAGCCACTGTGTCAATCCATATTGTTGAGGGCCTTCCCCACCTTTGTTGACCTTCCACTTCACCAAGCATGATATCCTTCTCCAGGAAATGGTCCCGTCTTACAACATGATCAAAGTGAGACAAAGTCTGGCCATTTTCACTTCCAAGGAGCATTCCTGCTGCACTTCATCCAGGACAGATTTGTTAGCTCTTTTAGCAGTCCATGGAACTTTCAGCATTCTTCAGCACCTTGACTCACAAGCATTGATTGACTCTTCTTCAGTCTTCCTTATTCGTTATCCAGCTCTCCCATGCATATAAGGCGATTGAAAATACCATGGCTTGTGTCAGGCACACCTTAGTCCTCAGGTAGACATCTTTGCTCTTCAGCACTTGAAAGAGGTCTTTTGCAGCCCAGTGCTATACATCATCTGATACCTTGACTGCTGTTTCCATTGGTGTTGATTGTAGAACCAAGTAATATGAAGTCTTTGACAACTTAGCACAACTTTGTTTGCTGAAAGTGAGGATGACTTGAAACACTTACTGATGAAGACTGAAGAATAATAGTCTGTAGTCTGGATTACACCTCACTATAAAAAAAAAAACAAAAATCCTCACAACTGGACCAATAAGCAGCATCATGATAAATGGAGACAAGATTGAAGTTGTCAAAAACTTCATATTGCTTGGTTCTCTAGGGAAGGGGACTCTAAAATTTTCCTGCACAACAGATGGAATGGGTAGTGCTTATTTCTCCTCCTCTTTTTAATAAATACTTGTCCAAAATTAGAAAAGCCATGCTAGCATAAATTAACTTCTAGCTTCTTGTAGTTGTTGACGCTGTTAGCTGCCGTCAGGTCAGCTTCTGATGCATGGCAACCCTGTGCACAACGGTATTGGACCATTGTGAGCCATTGGGTTTATTGGCTGATTTTTCAGAAGTAGATTGCCAGGATTGTCTTCCTAATATGTCTTACTCTAGTAGCTCAGTACCCTCTTATACTTGTTATTTTCCTAAAAGCATTCACATGTAGGCTTTGCTAAGTTCTCTTTAACATAACACCCTTCAACTTCCTCTTAACCTCTTTGCTTTTAGAGGATAAATATTTTACTCATTTTCTATGCTAGTCTACTGGTATGGAAGGGTCACTTCTGCCAGCTTCTCCTCTTGGAGTTCTCTGTAATCCCCTCCCTGAGCCCATACAGATAAGGAGTGGTGCTCCTTTTTCCACAATCATTGTTGGTGCCAGTGACTCATTCCTTCCCCTAAAATTATTAACAATAGAAAATACACAAAAAGAACAAACAACCAAGTGGGGATCAGAGTATTGGTCACATTGACAGCCCTCAGCACCATGTCACCACCATATATACCCTTTCTTGTCACCTGTGTTGAAGAGCAGGACATAGACCTAAAGCCTCATGGGACTTGTGTCCCTCCCTTCACCTAGACCATGGGGTCCACTGTGGGAGGAGGCTTCTGCAAGCAGGCTCAGACACTTTCTCTGTCAGCCAGGGACCACCTCACACACTCAGTTACTGATAGAAAAGAGGAAGAATGGCCAGGCCCATCTTTGTAGGCCTTGAGCCCAATCCAAGCATGATTCCAACATGAGAGTAGGGAACAGGGGAGCCCCACTGTTCACCGTGCTCTCCCGGGGGTGGGGCATGGTGAAAAAGATACAGTAGAGCCTATTTTTTTGCTTTGGGTTATCATAATCTAACCCCACCCCCCAGTAATGTGGCCCATGGAGCCTCAAGCTCTGGCCTGTTGAGTTAGCTGCTCTCCTCTCGGGACGAGGGAGTAAGGCTAATGCTCCCATCCTTCTTTCCTTTTCTTACTGTTGTTTCTCAAGCCAGATTTCAGAATGTTAAACCACTGCTTTTCAGAGAGGACTTGGCTGAGAAGAAAGCAGTAACCCAGGGAGTTGAGGACAGTGCTTGGTGCTTAGCGATTTCCTGGACCAATGAGACAAATACAGAACTAGATCCAAGCAAAGACAGAGCCACTGCAGGAGGCTTACAACACTCCCGTGCAAACCACATCCCCAGTTCAGAGGAAAGCTCAAGCTTAACATGATCTCAGAGCCCATCCTCCTCTGTTTTCTCTGGCGGAGATGTTAAATGGCAGAGTGCCACTGTGTGAAGTTAACTGGTCCTTACCTTGACCAGAGTACGCTTTCAACAACTGCAACTTCCAGTTTCTGGTATGAGACAAGGGTACTTTACAAAGGCTTTAACTTTTTAGCCTCAATGTATAGGCAGTGGCAGTCAAGAGTAAAATGTACAACTCATGAGAAATTTCTAATTGCCAAAATACCAACCCAAACCTTTTATCTTGTCCCAGGCTTTGAACCAGATCATTCCAATCCAACCCCCTACTGAGCACTTGCATTTCTACCCCAGATATACTGAATCAGAATCTCCATTTGGACAGGATCCCTAAGAATCACTTGTATACATAAGAGTCACCAGGGGATCAGTAAGAATCTGGCCCAGTGGTCCAGATCATGCAGGAGATAGAGCAGCACTGTCTGCAGTTCTCTCTTTGCACCATCCTGTTCGTCATGCGCCAGGGCCTTCCTTTCTCAAAGTCCCTGTGCTCTCTGAGGTCCCTGGCTATACAGATTTCAATGTCTGCAATCCCTGGACACATGGGGGTCTTTGAGAGGCATCCCTTTGAACGCCTGTCATGAGTCAGAGGGCATTGTGAGTTACTTGTCTGAGTCTAACTTGCCTTCCTTGCAAGTTGTACTTCAGTGGATAAGTACAATTTAAACTAACCTTTCACAAACATTTGTGTTGCTTTGAGAACCAGGAAAGAAAAAAATCAAGTCGCTGCTGCCATGGGTTTTGGTTTTGTTCCAGGTCCTACAGAGGTGCCTTTGAGAGCTGGTTTTTGTTCATTCACTTTGGCGGATGGGCTGATATTGCGGCTGAGCAGTTGCTGATCTCAGAAGCCGAACCCCCGGAGGCCCTTCTGTGGCTCCTGGCATTCTCCTCCAGTCCCCACGATGGGAGTCAGCAGAGAGCACAAACCATGGTGGGTGGCAGGGCCCACCACGTGCGGGGTTCTGTCTCAGTCCCGGGAAGCGGTTTAGCCTTCACAAAATCACACACACCACAGCTCTGGGCAGGTGCAGTGTGTGTTGGGATGACATCTGCTAGGGTGATAACTGGCTGCATGCTGCTTCTGCTCACAGACCTTTCTGTGCCTTCAGAGAGCTGAGTGGAGGCAGATGCCCACTCCTGGGGACCTCCAAGGAGATGGATACTGCCATCTGACCTCTTCTGGCTCAGCTGCCAGGTCTGCCCTCACTTCACAGGCATGCCCACCTGGGGCCACTGCCCTTGAGGACTGTCTCTGGTGAGTTGGATGGGGTTCTCGGAGGCGTGCCAACCTGCAGCAGGTCTGGCCCTTAGTCTATGTCCTCTTTCCGACTAGCAGCCTGGCCATCTTGAGTGATTGCTTTCTTGGACCGGGCAGCAAAGCCTCACATTACCAGCTTTGTTTAGAATTCTTACTAAAAGAATCACATGCTATTAACCATTTTGCTTCTGAAAAAGGATTGAGCATTTCCTGAATAACAGCATTTAAGTATAGGACCTGATAACTCTGTGGCAGAGACAGTTGTTATTTTATATGTCGTATAATAATTACAGGAAGTGGTACTTTGATTAAAGGCATTGGCATCTCCCTTGCATACAATTATTTGCTGGTTTTTGAAACTTCAACTGCCAAAGCGTTTTTTGTTTTTTTGCTGATTTTAATAATTAAAGGAAACCAGTTTCATTACGTATGGAGTGATGTTCATATTTGCTTTATATCTTCTGTTGTTTGAAAACATCAGACACTAGTATAAATATGTCTGTGTATTTTATTTGTTTAAAGGCTTGCATGGCAAGGAAAAGGAAATGAGTTTTGCATTTTAAAAAGTTGAAATTTGGTAGTAATTTATTTGGAATCAAAAATAGAATATTTTAAAAAGAAATGATCATAATCCACATATGTATTTGAGTATTGCTGTCTGGTTAAAAAGCCTTCTCTTTTTTCCCCCTTAAAAATACCACAATACACTAATTAAGGAAAAGTTCTAGTTTCTGATTTTCATCATCTTATTTTTAATAATAATTAAATTGCATGAACCACTAGTTTTAATTTCTAAAACTCTCTTATATGTATTTCATATTTGATTCTGAGTAAGCTAAATTGGCAGATATTGATCATAGATCCTCACAAAGGAAGACTCACTTTTGAAATATGGAAAAAGAAGTTGTCTGATAAGATGTGATTTCTAGAAAGTTCTGCATTGGCACATCTTTCTGCTAGCCAGATTTTTTTTTTTTCTTTTTTTTTTTTTAATCTATGCTTAGTCACTTATTTAGGAAAAGCTTAGACATCTTGGGTAAAAATGGATTAACTCGTTCAGAGTCTTTTAGTACCAGCATGTCCGTTTACTTATTAGCTGTGCTATCAGAGGTGGCCATCTGCTTTGTTACTTTATTGGTGAGTGCTTCATATTAATGACTCCAGTGCCACTTCCTTGTTGGTATCCAACCTGAGACATTGATGGATGTGATGTCCAGGACAGCAAGTGGGGCTTCATTTTCCTACTCTAGTTAATAATACATACTGGCTGCCCCCGGGGTTTTGTGAACTTTCATTTAACTGTATCATTCTACTTCTAGGAAGTAGGCTAAGGAAATAATTACTAGAGATCTATAGAAAAATTAATGTACAAGGCTATTCATCACAACATGATTCATAATTGCAAAATGGTAAATGGCTTAAACTTTCAGTGGTAAGGATGTTGGCTAAATTAATTGTGGTATGTCCTAACCATGGAATAGCCTTCTACCATGAAAAACCATATTCTTAAAGAATATGTTCTATAGAAAGAGTAAGTTGTCTATAGTGCATTGTGAAATGAAAAATGTGAGACAAAAAACATTATATATCATGAGTGGTAGCCTCTCAACACATAGAAAAAAGCCAGGAAGTATGAAAACCAAATTATTAACAATGAGTCTCTCTGGGTAATGGAATAATAGATCACTTTTTCTTTTTTTTACTTTTCTCTTTTGTTCAAGTTTCTTACCATGAACATATATAAGTTTGTATAACACAGAATAAAAATATAATACTTTAAAGAGAAAAGAGAAGAAAGTGTACATCTTTCTCCTGAAAAAGTTAGAAAGCATTTAATGTAGTGGTATGTCAAATAGAAGGGAGCTCTGGTAGCATAGTGCCTAAGGCACTTGACTGCTAACCAGAAGGCTGGCAGTTCAAACCCACCAGCCACTCCTCAGAAGGAAGATGGGGCAATCTACTTCCGTAGTGATACTGCCTCAGAAACCCAAAGAGGGGTCGACGGCATATAACAACAACAACATGTCAAATAGAAGCTTAGGGACATGGAATGCATTGGAAGGGAAGGACTGAGACAAAATAGAAGGGAAGAAGACCAAGTCTCAGGAATATTGGACAAAGATACAAAATCAAAAAACAGCCAAGACAGTGGGGTATAAAGGCATAACCTCCTGGGTGCAGACATTTTTACAGACACAGTTCAATGGCAAGATGGTCATGGGCCCCTGTAGATCCAGTCAGATGATGACCACCCCCGTCCGGCCCGGCCCGAGAAGAGGTAGTGAGAGGGTGTTCTTCTCCTGTTGGTACAATGCCAGTCTCTGTGGAGGAACGCCATGTTGCAGTTTCTCACGGTCTCGCGTTGGGGTCAGAAGAGCTCACACAGCACGCCTAGTGTACTGGAGTTTATGACAGCCTTCATTCAATGGGGTCTTAACTTACTGACTTGCACAAAATCTATAAACTCGGTCATGGGAATTCTCAGAATAGGGTGAAGTATTCTTTCAAAGATGATAGAACATAGCTGTTCATGAATTCCATGTGGCATTTTGGACCTGTAACTTTTGGTTTTTGCTTTGTTTTCTAAGTCCTAACTTGATGTACCATTCCTGTAGCAAGCAGAAGTCTCAGCATGAAATAAATATTTTTATGCAAAAACAACCCACAGGCCTGTAACAATTGCCATTAATTATGTGGATTCCACAGACCTTTGACCTCTCTTTAAGCTTTAAACATATGTGAACAGACTATTTCAGTGTCTATTTAAAATAAAGCAAATGTGGGGTATGTATGCATATATATTTTTCCAAAAAAAAATAAAAAAATCACAAAAGACAGAAGGAAAGCCTGCATCCTTATCAGGACACTGGCTCAGTAGAGGTCCATCGCTTGGGGCTTTGATTGATTTGTGGCTGCGATAGGACAATGAGTCTTCAAGGAGCTTTTTGTTCTTTTTCCCACAGTGTAAAAATCTGACTGCATTCTGCTGAGGACTTTTCTTGCTTTCCTTTCATTGGAAAAAAAAAAAAAAGAAGAAGAAAAAGGAAAAAAAATCAGTTCCTGGCATGGTGCCCTGGCTGCTTAGTGAGCAAGACCAAAGACAGTCCAGAAATTTCCATTAGGCCCATTTGAGTTTGTGTGGAGCAGTGTGTCAACTCAGATGTGGGCCGCTCTGCCTCCCCTCCCTCGGGCACCAGGCCTCTCTTCAAAGTACTGAATAAATCCTAGAGATATGCAGGTCCCCTTCTGCCAGAATCTCTTACCCTTTGAAATTACACCCTGCAGGTAGAGGTGAAGGTGGTGATCGGTCGCCTCCTGAAGCTGTTCAGGAGTCCAACCCTCTCAGGCCAGGATCTACAGACAGCAGCTGGTGAGGACAGAGAAGGAGACCCCAGGCCTCTGGCATGTCAACGGCTGGTCAGGCACCTCCTCCTGAGCTTCCTGCTCTGGGCTCCTAGAGGCCACACCATCGCCAGGGAAGTCATCACCCTTGTAAGTCTCCCCTTCTCTGGCATCCCCCTTCTCACCTGCACTCCAGATAAAAGGTGGGTTACCTGCCCAAGGGTCCCAGCCTCTGCAGAGTGTTATGTTCCACAGAGCTGCCCCAACATGGATGGATAGGGAGTTTCACCACTGAGGTGCAACCTTGAGCCTGCCCTGCGCAACACCTTTATGTTATAAAAGAGAAAACAGGCTCAGGGAAAGGGGGTGACTTCTGGGCCACAAAGCTTGCTGCCAGGGCTGATTGTAAAAGCCAAGTCCCCTGTCTCCCTGTATTGTTCTCTCAATTTTCGTGCACTACCTCCTCCGCACGCCACCCCCAGGAAAAGCAGCCACCTTGTGGTTCAGGCCTGGTGTTAATCTCAGAGAAATCCTCAGAAGCCCAGGGAACATGGGTGTAAAGAATAGTCCACGTCAAAAAGATCTCCAATGTGCTGGCTCTGCAAGTTTTTACTTTTGTTTCTACTTGTTTTACTTTTTATTGACATATACATACAACTGGACAGAGTTTCACAAATCAAAACACCTATGCTGCCAGCAACCAAATAAAGAGCGCAATGTTTCAAGCACCAAGAAGCCCCCTCCTACTCCCTTCCTGAGAAGGTCCTGTTTTAATGGGAGTGTGACTATAGGGAAAGTCTCAGTGACAAATGACCCACCGTGCCAAGAATCATCACCTAGGTGGTTCTTATATTGGTGAGAACAGTCGGTATGGGCAGGCTCAGCCTTGGGAGCCAGCAGGGAGCCATTCGATCCCTTCTCACGTGCTGTGTTTTGGTCTAAACAGAGCCTTCCTGGGAGCCTGCAGGGCGACTGAGCACAGAACAGGATTCTCCTGTCATGCACTGGGCACCAGCTCCTCTGAGCCCAGCCCAGCACCAGGAGAATGCTTCTGTTCTTGGTCATGTGCTTTTATTTAGAAAAAAGCACACTTACTCACTTCCAAACCCATTTGTGGTGAGAGAACTCCACAGGTGAGAGCTAAAAATATCCATAGAACTTGGTATCAACCAGCTTTATCTCTGGTTTAAGTTACAATAACTGCTGTCAGCTAGTGGTTGCTGTGAAAAAATGTAATCTCTCCCTTTTCACTTAGTCTGTGTCCTTGCAGGTAGGGGTAAAGATGCTCCCGGAGTCTCCTAGGTAAGACCAGGAGGTCAGCAGAGGAGATGCCTTCCTGCTGGGGGACTTAGAGGGGGGTCTGCTTGCTGAAGAAAGCAGCAGGGTTGGTTGGAGGTCACCTGCATCTTCACCTGAACCAGGCCCCTCCCCTAAGGGTCCCCAGGCAGACAGACAGCCTCTGTCATCCTGGGACTTTGGCCCAAATTGCAGCATGGCAGCCTGGCCCTCATGGCAGTGAGTGGGCGGGCATTAAACTCTAAGCCTTACGGTTGGAGGGTGGGGGTGTGGGACCCATGTCAGAGGGAGTTGGTCAGGGTCAGGGGTGGCTGAGTAGAAGAGTCCTTTCTATCAGCCTTGTGGAGGGAAGGTGTCTTGTGAGAAAGAAGATGGAGACGTTGATAATAAGAAAGACATTCATGAGAGATACTCGCTCTTTCTCTCTCAGGAAAGCCTCCGCCTGACCTTAGGGAAGGAAGAAGTACCCAAGGCAAATAAGGAGAACTGGTGGGATTCTTTCCCATACTGGCCTCTTTGTCTATCTTTCCCCAAAAGGCTTTGCTTGTATAGAATAGGGCCCAATTGGTGTCTTAAAACGTAACCGGTCAGTTGTTACGTTATTGCTTCTTTGTGTGGCCCAAATTGCAGCATGGTGGCCCGGCCCTACACACATAGAGCACAAGTTTTGTAGGTCTCTCTTGGTCAATATCCCACACAACGTGTTTGCTCAGTGACTGTGTTTAGTGAGATATAGGAGATGTTAGGATATCCCTCATAGAACCAGGGTTAGAAGCTGAACTCAGCTGATGCAGCTTCCAGAGGAGGGCCCCAACGTGGGAGAAAGCAAAGTAAGGAGGTGCCTGGAGACCCCAGGGTCAACCCAGGCACTTCCTGTCATTTGGTCTGTGCTCTTGGGCAACACCTATGACTTATGTGTCCTGGGCCCTTCACCTGTGACTTGAAGGAGCTGTCAGGACAACCTCTTCAGCTCTTTGAGCTTTAATTTTCTGTGATTCTGGGACATTTTGTGTTTGACCTGGCTGCCTGGAGTCGCTTTTCACATGGTTTACATCCTGAGACATCATTCATTATCACTAAATCATCAGGGCAGGGATTGCTCTGAGGGGAGGGTGGTGCAGTCCCAGCCCTCAGGACCTGATGGAGCTGTGGCCATATGACCTTTGCCCTGCTTTCATAGGAGCAGTGAGCAGCCATTTTTTACTTTTTTTTTTTTTTTTTTTCAGTTTCAGTTTAGCCCTGAAAATGGCCTTAAACAGAGTGGCTAACAGAATTTAACTTTTCCCAGTCTTGGTACATTCAGGTTAAATCAGGACATAGTAAGAGTCAATTGTAAGAACAGGCAGTCCACGGTTACGAATGAGATCCATTCCTAACTGTCTTTAAGTTGGACCAAGTGCATACAGCTCTTATTTAGCCTTACTTTAATGCAAGAAAAAGGATCTCTGGTGGTTCTGTGATTAAGGCATTGGGTTGCCAATCAAATGGTTGGCGTGTCAAATCCGCCAGCTGCTCCACAGGAGAAAGAAAAGGCAGTCCGCTTCCATAAAGATTTACAGCCTTAGAAACCCCATGGGGTTGCTATGAGTCTGAATCAATTTGATGGTACTTGATGGTAGTGAGTTTGGTTTTTTGGTTAGGGGCTGGTTCAGTCCTTTCAAAGTGAAGGCATATTTACATAAATGCCTTGACACTACACTACCAGAGCTCTTTATAATGCTATAGAGAAGACCAGTTAATACAACTGTTATTCAAATTTATGCACCAACCACTAAAGCTAAAGATGAAGAAATTGAAGATTTTTACCAACTTCTGCAGTCTGAAATTGACCAGACATGCAATCAACATGTATTGATAATTACTGGTGATTGGAATATGAAGTTGGAAACAAAGAAGCAGCATTGGTGGTTGGAAAACATGGTGAAAGAAATGACACTGGAGACCACATGATAGGTTATTGTGAGACCAATGATCTGTTTATTGCATATACCTTTTTTCAACAACATAAATGGGGACTATATATGTGGACCTTACCAGATAGAATACACGGGAATCAAATCGACTATATCTGTGGGAAGAGGTGATGGAGAAGCTAATATCATCAGATAGAACAAGGCCAGAGCTGACTAGGGAAAGATTATTAAGTCCTCATATGTAAGTTCAAATTGAAGCCGAAGAAAATTAAAACAAGTCCACGAGAGCCAAAATATGACCTTGATTATATTCCACCTGAATTTAGAAACCATCTGAAGAACAGATTTTACTCATTGAACACCAATCACCAAAGACCAGATAAGTTGTGGGATGATATCAAGAACATATGATACATGAAAAAAGCAAACTAAATTCATTGCAGTTGAGTCGGATCTGACTCAGAGCAACCCCTCCTGGGGTTTCTGAGGAGGTATCACTACGGAAGTAGATAGTCCAACCTTCCTTCCAAGGAGTGGCTGGTGGGTTTGAACCATCAGTCTTCTGGTTAGCAGTCAAGTGCCTTAGGCAGTACGCTACCAGAGCTCCCTGCTCTTGGATGGAGAGTAGCTAAAACAAATGGAAGAAATGCTTAAGTAAAAGATCTGAACAGAATATTTCAAAGGTCAGCTCAAGAAGACAGAGTAAAGTATTATAACAAAATGTGCACAATACCTGGAATTAGAAAACCAAAAGAGAAGAACATGCTTAGCATTTCTTCAAGCTGAAAGAACTGAAGGAAAATTCAAGCCTCAAGTTGTAATACTGAAGGATTCTGTGAACGAAATACTGAACAATACAGGAAGCATCAAAGGAAGATGGAAGACATACACAGAGTCACTATACGAAAATTGGTCAATATTCAACCATTTCAGCACCACCATTTAACCACAGCACCACCAATTGTTGTTGTTGTTGTTGTTGTAATGTGCTGTCGAGTTGGACATGACTCATAGCGACCCCTCCTTGGGTTTATAAGGCAATATCACTACGGATCTGGTGGCATAGTGCCTAAGGCACTTGACTGCAAACCAGAAGGCTGGTGGTTCAAACCCACCAGCCACTCCTCAGAAGAAAGGTTGGGCAGTTTACTTCCATAGTGATACTACCTCGGAAACCCAAGGGAGGGGTTGCTATGAGTCAGGTCTGACTCGAAGGCACATAACAACAATAACAACATCACTACGGAAGTAGATTGCCCAACCTTTCATCCGAGGAGTGGCTGGTAGGTTTGAACCACCAGCCTTCTGGTTAGCAGTCAAGTCCCTTAGGCACTAAGCTACCAGAGGTCCTAGCACCAGAGCTCCCTTGTATTTACACAGATCTATAATATGTCTACATGTAGCTACCTATATCCATATTAAGCTAAAGATGAGTTTATACTGATATGTGCAACTCTAATATATGACCACATGTATCATTCTAGCCTCCTCTTCTTCCTTATGTGTAATTTCCCACTCTAAGAATGAGAAATCTGGTTCCAAACTGCCATCCACTTAATTAATTGTGTAGTTTCCGTATATATGTAAGGACTTCTGGTGGCATAGTTGGTAAGGCATTTGGGTGCTAACCAGAAGGTCAGTGGTTCAAACCCACCAGCTGCTCCGTGGGAGGAAGATGAGGCAATCTACTTCTGTAAAGATTCACAGCCTTGGAAACTCAGTGACGGTCGTTTTGCATTGGAATCAACTCAATGGCAGTGGGTTTTGTTTTTTTTTTTTCAAGTATGTATAAAGTGGTTTCAGAATTGTTAGATGTACCCCATGAGAAATAACTTTTATCAATTAGAGTACATTGTTTCTGTACAGTACCTTTGTCTTCAGTCATACAGTCTCCATTCATTTCCAAAGTTACTAAGGTCAACACCTTAGTACCCACTTGCA